GGGACGCGCTGTGTAGACCAGGCTAACCTGCAACTTATAAGAGATCTTCTGGGATTGAAAGTATGCACCACAATACCTAGCTTCACACACACACACACACACACACACACACACACACACACACACACGTACGTACACAGGCACGTACTATCCAAATACTTTCAGGAATAGAACTTTCCTCACACCAAAACCTGAAGTGACCTTCGAGATAGCTGCCCTCCCCTTGCCCACCAAAGTGAGGGCTCAGCCCCCACAACTGGGTTCTCAGTAGAGACTGACATCAGATGAGACTGGGTGACTAAAGAGAGACAGTCACTATTTTAAGGATGTTTGTGGAATGAAGAGTTGGAGCCAGGGGTGGTGGCTCATGTTAACTCAACAAATAAGAGGCAGAGCAGGAAGTCCACCATGAATTTGAGGCCATCTGAGATACATAATAAGTTTATCAGGCCAGCTGGGCCACTGAGACACTGATCTCAAAAAAGAAAAAGAAAAAAAGAAAGAAAGAATTTGGAAGGGCAAGGGCTGTGGCTCAGTGACAGAGGGCCTACCCAGCGTGTGCATGGCTCTTTATTTGCTCCCAGCCCTGCAAGCAATAAAAAAGAGAGAGGGAGTTGGAAACCAGGGCTTTGTGGTCAGGTGACCAGTATTACATCCCCAGTTCACTCAGCAGCCATGACGGTAGAACCGATGGCTTACGACTCAGATGGTTTCCATGTCTGTAAAACAGATAACAAAGCCTGGCTTGTCGTAAGAATGAGACAGGATCGTGTATGTAAATGGCCACACATCACAGTTATGCTGTGTTTCTGTCCGCCCGTATAATCTCTGTATGTCTGACCTGACCGCTGAGATTGGCAGCTGCTCTTCGGCTGCCCTCCTTGCCTGGAGCACAGCTGCTACGTACACAGCCGGTTAGTTTGGTCAGCTGGGCACAATCTAGAGTCACCTGGTGTCTTAGGGTTACTACTGCTGTGATGGAACTAAAACCATGTTGGGGGGAAAGCGTTTGCTTGGCTTACACTGCCACATTGGAGTCCATCACTGGAGGAAGTCAGGGCAGGATTACAAACAGGGTGGGAACCTGGAGGCAGAGCTGATGCAGAGGCCATGGAGGGGTGCTGCTTACTGGCTTGCTCCCCATGGCGTGCTCAGCCTGCTTTCATATAGAACCCGGGACCACCAGCCTAGGTGGCCTCACCTACAATGGGCTGGGTCCTCCCCATCAATCACCAATCAATAAAAGGCCCTACAGACCTGCTCCTGTCCAATGGCCCTTGCACGTGTCAAACTGATGCAAAACTAGCCAGCACACCTGGGAAGAGGAGCCCTCAGTTGAGAAATTTCCTCCACTTGAGTGGCCTGTAGGTGTGTCTTTGGCATTTTCTTGATTAATGATTGCTGTGCACCAGCACAGCCCACTGTGGGAGGTGCCAGCTGTGGGTTGGTAGCGCCAGGTGCTATAAGAAAGCAGGCTGAGCAGGCCATTGGGGGGGGGGGGGGGCGGTGAGGAAGGAGGATTCCTCTATAGCAGTCCTCAACCCCTGAGTCCCGACCTTTTGAGGGTTGACTGACCCTTTCACGGGGGTCTCATATCAGATATCCTGCCTATCAGATACTTACATTATGATTCATAACAGTAGCAAAATTACAGTTACAAAGTAGCAACGAAGTAATTTTACCACCACAGCATGAGGAACCTTATTAAAGGCACAGCACTACCAAGTTTGAGAAGCATGGCTCTGTGGCCTCTGCTTCAGTCCCTGCCGCCAGCGGGAGTCCTGGCTGTGATGGACTGACGTGGAAGTGTAAGCCAAATAAACCCTTTCTGTCCTCTTGCTCAATGTTTTGTCACAGTGACAGAGGGGGGGAAATTAGGACAACAGCTAACTGCAAACTGGCGTTGACCTCTTGTTAAAGTTTTAGACAACATTAGATGGTGAATCTGAGTCATCCCTCTTTTTTTCCTTCCTCACTGCACGGCAGCACCACAGCCTAGTCTTTTTAGTCGGCCTCTCTTTTGTTTCTGGAAGTGTGCGTGTGTGCATGTACGCGCTTCCATGGTAAGCACAGTGCCTATCCTGACATGGGATGAGATTAAAATGCAGTGCCCTGGAGGACAGCTTCTTTGAAGACAAGGAGTTAGGAGCTTACTAACAAGCTTACAAAAACAGTTTAAGCACTTTATTTCCTTTGGGGAGCTCAAAGCACTTTACGAGCAATCACTGCTTAGCGCCCTCGCTCAAGCCTGGTTGTGAATTTGGAGAGCTGTGGACACCGGGTGTCATCCTGTGCGTGCAGAGAGGAGGCCCAGAGTGCCAGGGATGAGGAGGTGCTCGTTGGCGACAGCAGGCTGAGTCGGCCAGGGCCGCGCCTCCTTCGAGGGGCCGTGGTCCTGGGAGAACTTGGCTCTCCGGCGTGTCTGTGTCTCCTGTGCTTGGGGTCAGAGTGAGCTGGTAAGATGAACAGAGAAGACAGCACGTGACTGTATGTGTGGGACCCTCCCAGCCCTGTTTGTTTTCTAATAGTTTCTATGGCAAAGCAATAGGGAAATTTTACTTTTATTACAGGCGTCGTGCTCTGCCCAGGAATAGATATTAAAGAAGCAGGAGCTTTCAGGAGTGAACTTTGTAAATTCTGGAGTGGTGACGTTCCCGTGGTCACTACCAGGTCTCTGACTTCGAAGCACACTTTGACAGACCCTCTTCCTGTAGTCACCACTGAGGGAGGTCGTAGGACCCCGAGAACAGCCTGTCAGCTTTCTGAGCAACATCTGAATCCCTCCTCACTGTGACTGTCGTCAGGGGACACCTCTGCTTCTGCCACCAGATCCATCACTTTCCCAGTGAGCTTCTCCGAGCCCAGTTCTGTGCGGGGTCCACGTTTTCACAGTGTGTCTTAGCTTCCTTGTCACTGTGACAAAAAGCCGCTTAAGGGAGGAAGGTTTTCCCTTGGCTCATCACGAGCGAAGGCTGGAGGCAGGAGTGTGACATCATGGGCACACCACATCCGCAGTGATCAGGCAGAGAATAATGGGTGCCATAGCTCAGCTCCATTTCTCTTTTCTTCCTTTTGTACTCAGTCTGTGAGACAGTGCTGTCCACATTCATTCTCTCCTCAGTTAAACTCCCCGGAAACATTCATACAGGCACGCCCTGGGGTGTGTCGGTCAAGCTGACAATAAAAATTAGCTGTTACTCGGTGTCAGACGGACACTCAGACCCTCAGGAAGGCCCACGTACGAGCTGTTGAGATGGCTCAGCTGGTAGGTGTTGGACGACCAGGCTGACATCGGGGGTTTAGTCCCCGAATCCACGTGGTGAGAAGGAAGAAAGAACCTATGCACGCTGCTCTCTGTCCCTCACACACGTGGCATACGTGGACCCATCCCCCCCCCACACACACATTAAATAAATAAGTAAATGTGACAAGATTTTTAAGAAATAATTGTCCTACGAATATTTCGATCTACTTCCCTCAACACAGATCTGCGGGGCAAAAATTTGTGGAGAAATTCGCATCTGTTCCAAACATATGCAAACATTTTAAAAAACACTTTGGGGCAGTTGGTGTGTGTGTGTCTGTGTCAGTGTCTGTGTGTATGTGTGTGTGAGCCATGGCGAGCATAGGGACATCAGAGAATGACTTGCAGGAACCTATTCTCTCTTTGACCACATGAATCATGCGGGATCGAACTGAGGTCAGCAGGCTTGGTTGGCAAGGACTTTTACCAAATGAGCCATTCACTGGCCCCACAAACTTTTTTTTCTTCATCATTATTCCCTAAACAATACATCTTAACAGCTAGTGACACCGCATTTACATTGCATGAGGTATGGCCCGTAACCCAAAAATTATCCGAAGGTCATGATGGGGTCCGGCACTCGGTGGGTAAAACTGCTTACATGCAGGTCCCTGAAACCCACTGGTGATGCTCAGATGCAGACATTACAAAATTCCAGTGTCCTGTGGGCCGTTATTGCTGGAATCTTATCTTCTGCCTGCTAATCCAATTCTCTCCTCAGCGTGCAGAGCACAGCCGTCTCCTCTGCCCTCTTCTCTTCCGTCAGTGTGCATGAAGGACCAGGCTGAACTCATTTGAAATTGGCTTCATCTCCATCCCTGTCCTCTGGCTGTCGTTTAGACATTAGAATGAGCAATTCCTCACACATGAAGTCCTGGGTGACCGTGTAATCAACAGTCTGAAGGCTTGCTGAGCGTGACTAACCACTCGTAAAAGAGCCAAGCGTGATTCAAAGAGCTCCACCAAAAATACTGTGTCATTTGGCCTCGTGTTGGCCTGGTGCAAAGTCAGGTTTTGAGTCACAAAGCTCATTAGCAGTACGCGTGTACTTGACTGTAATAAGGAGGTCAGGGTAGCCCAGGTGGAGAGGGGTGTATTTAGAGCCGGCAACAGGATGAGTTTCGGTGTGGAGGCAGTGGTCCAAGAGAGACACTAATCTCGAGAGGGACATTTTCTCTATCCCCCCATTTCTGCCATCAAGTCAAATAACCTAATCTGCGGGGAGTCTCTCTGCTTCCTAGAAAAGGAAGGTTTTCGAAATTTTTCAGGAGGGGGTCATTGGAAGAGGTCTCTCCGTTGAAGGAACGTGTGAAGCCTACACAGGGATCCCAAGACCATCATTGGACCCCAGCCTTGGTCAGCCCTGAGCTAACGAGGCCGCCCTGTGTCCCTGATAGGATGGGCTTGGTCATAGGATGAGCTGCCCCGCCTCAAAAGACACACAGTTGCAACCCCCACCTTGACTGCTCTACCACAGTGCCTCTGAGGTGCTGTGACAGTTTTTTGTTGCAGTGTCGCACGCAACACTCATAACTTAGAGGAAGAACATTCGGGGCATGTTTACAGATGAGGTGAAACATCCCCGTCCCCGGTCTCAACTCCCTGGCATGCTTGTCCTAACCATGGCCATGGCCTCTCTCTGAAAGTCTGGCTTTCTCTGCGATGTCATGACCAGCTCTTGCTCTTCTCTCTTCAGGCAGTTCGGTGGCTATGCCAAGGAAGCAGACTACATTGCTCACGCCAGCCAGCTACGGACCGCCCTGGAGGGCACGCCGGCCACCTACCAGGGTGATGTCTACTACTGTACGGGATATGACCCTCCCATGAAGCCCTATGGCCGTCGTAATGAAGTCTGGCTTGTGAAGACATGAGTCACTGAGCTGAGAACGCCCTGAAAGGGTGCCACTGTGTCCCCTGGCTTGGAGTCAAAGGGGGGCAGTGTTTCTGCAGTTCCAGCTTTCCTCCAAAACCCCTCACTTCCAGGTTTCTGAAATAAGCCAAGACTGGCAGCACCGTTCTCGTTGAGTTAGGAAATTCTCTGGCAGATCAGTAAAATCCCAGAGGCATTTTTTTTTTCAGCCGTCTGGGTCACTGAAAACTGATTTTTTTTTCCTTTTTTTTTTTTAATTAATTACACTTTATTCACTTTGTATCCCCCCATAAGAAAAATGATTTTTAAAAATTATCGGATTTGTATTTTTTGTTAGTGAGGGAACATGTGATTTATGCATGAGCTTTCGTCTGTGATTCTCTTAAGAACTTTGTCTAGAAAGAAACCGAAAATAGAAATCTTTGACTTAAGCAGCAGAGACAGTTCTAAATATAATTTTTCTCCAGGTTCTATGATCCTTTAAGAAATATTTACTTTTACATGGGGGAAGGTGGGGGGGGTGCCTTCAGAGCCCATAAGAAGGCATCAGATCTCCTGGAGCTAGAATTATAGATTGAGAGCCACCAGACTTGGGTTGCTGGGAACTGAACTCAGGTCCTCTGGAGAGCAGCAAGCATTCTTAACCACTGAGCCGTCTTCCCAGCCCCAAGACTGGCAGTCTTATCAGAGTGCCATTGATGGTGTCCACTGCCCTTAGAGCTCTGGAGTCTGCAGAGCATTCTCCAAGGGTCCCAGGAACAGAGGCCACGCTCTGGATGCCTGGCTGAGTCGGAGCTGATGTGTTTGCCTTGGCTCCCCGGCAGCACATCTGTGAATGATGGCTGAGGCGCAGGTTCGCAGCTGTGGTCCACAGGGGTTTGCAGAAGTTACAGAAGCAGATGGAGAACAGAATCACACTCCCACGCACAACGACCCTGAGGGCAGGAAATTTTGCCAGGGGGGAAATCTATTCAGGATGATGAGATCAGAAAAGGCTAGAGTCCAGTTTCCTTAACTGAACAAGACAGGAATGAAAGAAAAGGAGTAGTTTGGCCTGCAGAGAAGAAAAGGGGGTGGGGGGGTGGCTGTGAGCTGAAAATGGGGAAAGAAGCTAACCTGGAACAGGTTGTGGGTAGCAAGGCAGGGAGCTTGGGGCTCACGAGGAGCACCAGGATCAAGCCCCATCTGCAGTCCTAGTTTAGACAACTGTAAAGATCCCCCAGAAGACACTTGGGAGACAGCCTGTCCATGTTAGGTTGCTATGGTAACAGCAGGGCCTGGCTACGCTTGATGCTTAGTAGTGGGAGGAAATAAAAACCAGAAAACAATCTCGGAGGAAGTGTTTGCTGCAGCCACGGCTGTTTCTGAAGATCGGCCTCGACTACCCGGTGCACTGTGCACGTACCGTGACGTTCGCTTCACATGCCAACTCTATCGGGGGTAGTGTCATGACTCTCCCGCAGATGAGGAGGTGAGACCACCCCCAGGCTTTTCACACTGAACCCAAGACCAAGAGGAGTGTAGCGCAGGCCCTTAGGTCATGTCAGGTAGTTTGGGTTTTTTAAAATGTTTGCTTTTTTGTTTTGTTTAGTGAGGGGCTGGATCCAAACTCACAGAAAATACAAGGAGGGGTATGTGGCTGAGTCAGGAAGACCAGCCTTATTGCTAACCCCTTGCATCGTACTATGACGACTGGGAGGCCATTTCTGGTGTGCAAAGCCCCGTGTGATCCAATCTCTCCTTCTCCCTCACCCGCCCCCCTCCTTTCTGATCTCTTTCTCACTACAGTGTAGCCACAATGACAGTAAGTCCCTTGTCACCTTTTTAGATGGCTGGGTCTCACCATCCCATTGATGGTACCTTTCAAGGGGGCCTGGAATCCCCCTGCCTCTGCATCACCCCCAGATATATCACTTAGGACTATAGTAAGTGTTAGAAGAGACTGGTCAGGATTTCTTTTCTCACATACCAAGAAATATACAAGAAGGGTAGATGGCAGGTGCTGGTCTTGGCTGCAAACGGCTGGGGCAGCTCCTGCGGCCGCATCCCTGCTCAAGGCAGGAAAGGGCCAAGGAGAGGAAGCGGCACCTGCTGTATCCTTAGATCCATTGTGTGAGAAAACAAAACATTTTCCAGAGTTCCGCCAACTGCCAAGGCCAACCAAAGCTGCAAGGTATGTGAGCAACTTGTGTGTGTGGGAAGTGTGTGCAACTTAGGAAGCTTTTGCAACTTAGAAAGTGTTTGTAACTTGGGAAGCATGTGCAGCTTGGGAAGTGTGTGCTCCTGTAGCTGGGAAAGTCAGAGGCCCAGGAGAAAGGTGTTCAGAATGGCTTCAGGAGGACAATCAGCAGTGACTTTGGCTCGGGGGAGTGAGTGGGTTTGTGTGCCTACAGCCAGCGAGGGAAGGAAGAGAGTGGTGGAGATGGGTGAGGCCGGGTCATGGAAGATGTGCAGGCTTTCTCTCCTCCACCCCCAGTCCCTGCTGTTCTTTACCTCCGCTGCAACAGCCAGAACTGGAGAGCACAGCACAGTGGAGGCAAGAATGGCTTTCAGCCACCCTCCCCGCACTGAAGACCCAGGGTGGCCAGATGAACAGCCCAGACACACTCCATAAGAGCTAGATATCAAAACCAAACAAGTTCACCCCGTTCTGTATTTAACAGTGAGGAGCAGCTGGCGTGGTGGTGTGCGCCCAGTCCTTGCACTTCGGAGGCAAGAGGAATGGGAATTTAAAGCCAGCCTTGGCTACATTAAGAGTCTTAGTCTAGCCTGTGTTACATGAGATCCCATCTCAAGCAGGGGAAAAAATAAATAACAGCAAAACCAAAACAAAACAAAAAGGCATGGTGGCACATGCACTTGGAAGGCTGAGGCAGAAGGATTGCTGCACATTGAAAAAAAAGAAAGAAAGAAAGGAAGGAAGGAAGGAAGGAAGGAAGGAAGGAAGGAAGGAAGGGAAAGAAAGAAAGAGAAGGAAAGGGAGAATGAAAGAGAAAAGGTAGACCACAGTCGCCAGACTTTTCCATTGCCAATCTACAAATGAATAAACTAAGCATTCCTGGTCCCCGCCATCAGCATCATTGTCAAAGCGACAGTTTATTTCAAAAGCTTTTGGCCTCTTCTCTCTTCTCTCCCTGGGGTGCTGAAGTGGAGCATGTGGCTAAGATTTTTACACGGGTGAAAACCTGCACTGGAAAACAGTGAACAGGAGAACTTGGGTGTCAGTGACTGACTCTTCTGTAGGCTGAGGGCTCAGGGTCCCAGCTCAAGGCTGCAGCCACTCCTGAACTGCAATCATAAACACAGCCTGCTGTCTCCCAGAAGCCACCAGCTTGCTGTGGCCAAGCTCTGTCCAGTAAAATTTGTTCTGCATATACTGTGCCACAATGCCACATTATTAAGCTTACATGACAGTGCCCTGGGGTCCAGGGGTGATTGTATACACAAATCCAAGGGAACCCTCAGTGAGCCCAGGAAGTTACTCATGGCTTGTTTAAGGGAGATTGCCTTAATTTACACTTGGCTTCTCCACTCTTGAGTAATAGTCTTTGATCCTGAGCACAATAATTACAGTTTCACAGCATGCCACATTGATGGGTTTGTATTTGGTGGAATGCCATAGATTTTGCCTTTGAATTTATGTCCTGACCTGGCACTAGGCTTTTCCTGTTCTTGTTTCTATAGCGACATCATTCTATAAGAATCTGGGAAGAGACCCAAACAATAGCCACAAAAGAAGAATCAGGAACCAAGCTAGTAAGATAGAAATGACACAGTAGCCTGTGAGTGGGACAGTGGGACAAGAATTAATGTTGATTGTGAAGAGCTGTCACATAGTCCAAATGTCAGACTCTGCAATGAGTTATCTACACCTTCACCATATAAAGAGAATATATATATATAATCATGGAGGTGGAGAGCTGGCTCAGGGATTAAGAGTGCTTGCTGCTCTTGCAGAGGACTGGAGATCAGATCCTAGCTGCTCTTCCAGAGGACCAGAGTTCAAGTCTCGCAAGTGTCCGTAACTTCAGTCCCAGGGCATCTGACACCCTCTTCTGGCTTCCTTGTGTACCAGACATGCAAGTGGCACAGAGATATGGAGACAAATCATCATATGTACAAAAATAAATTCAATTTTTAATATCGGTTTGTGAGTTGGTCGGGCTGGGCTTCTTCTCATGTGGTATCTCTTCCTCTCTCCTGGGCTCCTTATTCTCTAAGCTAGGTGACCAGAGGCCCCTCTAACGTTACCCCAGGGCCTCCTGCCCAACTTCACTCACTCTGCTCTTAATGCTAGAATCCACCATCCCTCTGTACTCTGCCCACGGTCAAGCTTCAGCATCTTCAAAGTTTTCCCTAAATCTGCCAGCAATAACTGCCTCCTCTTATGATTTATAATCCCCACCTCATATCTACTTTATATAGATGTACTCACAATAGGGTTTATGGGTGTAGCTTGACTAGTAAGGTCCTTGCCCAGTATTCATGAAGGTCTGGGTTTCATTTCCATCATAACATAAACTGGGTATGGTGGTATACACCTGTAACCCCAGCACTGAGGAGGTAAAAGCAGGGAGAGCAGAAGTTCAAGGTCATCCTTAGCTATATAGGGAGTTTGAGGACAGCCTGGGCTACACGAGACCCTCCCGTTCACACACACACACACACACACACACACACACACATACACAGTACATAATTCTATTAATATAGATCAATTGGAGTCATAAGAACTACTTCCAGGTAATTCCAGCACTCAGGAGTCTGCCAGGCCAGCCTGGGCTACATATCCAGACCATGTTTCAGAAACAAAACAAGGGCCTAGAGAGACAACTCAACAGTTAGGAGCCTTTGTGGCTCTTGCAGAGGCCCTGGGTTTGGCCCCCAGGACCCGCATGGTGGTCTACAACTATCTGTAACTCTAGTTCCAGAGGATCTGACACCCTCTTCTGATATTTGAGGGGACCAGGCACACACATGCCTCAAATACATACAAGCAGGAATAACAACCATAATACATAAAATCCATAAAGATAACATTTTTTTTAAGCAAAACAAAAATGAGAAATTGATGGGTAAAACTTAGGGAGCATTCACTGTGTTCTAGGAACCTGCTCATTACATGAATGACCTGATTTTACCCAGTAAAGAAGTCACTGACACTATTTTCTCTACTCCAGTTACAGATGAACTGGGAGGTTTATTAAGATGCCCTAGGCTAGCCCACTGTGACGACATGTGCAGCACCAGGGAGGTGGAGGCAGGTGGATCAAGAATTCAAGCTCATCCTCAGCTATAAAAAAAAAAAAAAGCTC